ATGAAAACTTAAAAAAAACAGATATATGACCATATACTGCCCTTTTAACATGCACTCTATATTGGGTTGGGGGGGTGGGGAATCCTTCCAAGTTCCCTTGCATATTCTGTATACATTCTGCAACAGTCTTGTTAAAGTAAAATGAAGCTTTATGAATGAGCTACTTTAACAGACTCAATGGGACAATGGAACCCTGTGCCCTTGAAGAGACCTATTGACTTCAGTCGTACTGTACAGGTGTAAGGATCTGTCCATTTATTAAATTGAAGGATGGGGGCCTAAATCAGCTCAAAATTTGCTCCACTGCCTATATTAGGCTCTGGACTCAAAGATGCACAGCAAAAAAGAAATACTCAAAGGCTGGAGTGAGAGAGAGAAAGGTAAGAGTGTTTTTCTAAGACTACTAAAAATATTCATATCTGACATTATTGAAGGGTATGCAGTGTTGTTGGAGCCATGTTGGTTCTCCAGAATATTAGAGATACAAGGTGGGTCAGCAGCTAATATCATTTATTGGACCAAATTCTGTTGGTGAGCGAGACAAGCTTTCGAGCTTACACAGAGCTCTTTTTCAGGTCTGGGAAATGTCACAGCTAAATACAAGGTGGAACAGATTGTTTAACGTAAGTAGTTAACACATATTTCAAGGGATTATTCAAGGTGAAGTGGCCTGTTAACATCTCTCCAGTCATGGGGGAGGGAGAGGTTGCAGATTATTGTAATAAATTCAGTGACTGTATTCACTTCATGATATTTACTGTCTAGCAAAGTTATTAATTTAAACATCCAGGCTTGTCTTTTGAAGGTATGCAGGTTTCCTTTGAGGATGAGGACTGAGAGGTCGCACATAGAGGGAATGCTTTGTGAAAAATGTTCATCCACAGGTGATGTGGTGTTTTTGTCTTTTATCATTTTCAGAAGACCCATTGGGAGGCGTGTAGTTGCCAGAGCCCTCTTGAGGGAGTTGCGAGAGGAGAGGTATCAGGCTCAGTGTGGGGTAGTGGCCACCCTGGAGCCTCTGAATAACTTGGATGGTGAAGAGAGTCAGGATACCAGGATTCTCTCTCTGAAGATGGTGAAAGACAAGTGGATGGCAGGTGGATCTGAGGGGAGCAGGATGAATCTGCTGGGGCAGCATGGGGGTTCAAGCACCCACATCTGAACCTAAACTTCTGGGACCCCAGGGGTTTTGGTTCAGAACCAGAATCAAAAGTGCCTGGAGTAGTTTGGATTCAGGGATTTGAATCCCTGTGTTTTTTCCCTTTCAGATCTGAGGTTTTTGATTTGCCTCTCCTCTGCTGGATGGGTGGCTCCCCCAGCCCTACCCCAGGTAACCATAATCTGTCCCAAAACATCCCTGTAATTTTCAGCAGCATAATAGTAAACAAGCCCATAGCAATGACGGACTCATTCCTGAACCATTCCTCCCTGGCTACAGCAGTACATAAGATAGGTTGACCAGACAGCAAATGTGAAAAATCAGGACAGGGGGTGGGGGGTAATAGGAGCCTATATAAGAAAAAGACCCAAAAATCAGGACTGTCCCTATAAAATGAGGACATCTGGTCACCCTAACATAAGATTACACTGGGAGGAGTTTTTCTTCAGCCATTGTGGAGGAGGGGGAAAGCAGGGAGGGGGAAAAGGAGTCATTCTTATGTCTCCTAGCAACGAAAATGCTGTCACCTTGGCTACCAGGCTGAGAAGTGAAAGGCAGAGTGTCAGTGAAGTTCACTTGCGCTAGGAGCTGCAGCCAGGCAAGGAGGTGGTTAAGAAGGGCAGCAGCAGGTAGCAAATCTCTCCTGCCCCCAGCCCCAATAAACTACATTAGGAAGAGGCTTAGTGGGCATTATCTGTCTGTCTGTCTCCTTCACACTCTGATGTTTGTTCACTTTTCACAGCAAGAAATGTGTGTGAAATTGTTTACTTAAAACCACAAATTTGGGGCATTCGAAAAGGAGTGGGTGGGGGGCAGTAGGGAAGGGAAGGGAAGAGAATATGGGGTGGGGGGGAGAAAGGAGCATGGAAGGAAGCAGAGAAGGGAGCTGGGGGTGGGAGCAAAGGAAGTTAGAGAGCTTGGGGAAGGAGGTGGGTGGAAGAAAGCTTGGGAGGGGGATAGAAGAGAGGAGGATAGAAGAGAGTTTGAGATGAGGTGCAGGGAAAAAGTGAGCTTGAAGTGGGGTAGAAAAGGAAGAGAGCTTGTGTAGCAGGGAGAAGAGATCTTAGTGTGGGCAGCATGGGAGAGGGAGAAGACAACTTGAGGAAGAGACAGGTGGAGGGAGTTTGAAGAGAACTGTTTCCTTCCAGCTGCCGGGGTGTCCGGAAGGCAGAAGCATCTATTATAACACTTTCTCTAGTCTCCTGAATGGAAACTATGTCCTGAAACTATTTCCCTAATTTTCTGTATGCAGGTAGCTAATACGAGCTTATTTATTTTAAGAAAAATATTGACCTAATCTATACATTTTAACAAACAAGAAACAATTTGACCAAAGTTTACAATGAAGCCAACACAGACTCCAAGGCTCCTGAGGGTAAGTGAGTGATTTATTGTTGGGGCTCTGTGAAGTATTCACAATGAAATTTGAAAACCTTGAACACAATTGGCACTATATCATTAAGGATTCTTCATGATCCTTACTGCTGGTTTACAGATCAGAGTGTTCAAAGAACCTCCAGGTGGTTAAATAATATTAATCACACGTTAGCCTCGGTAAAGTATTCCCTCTGAAAAGGTAATATAGCTCAAGCACGCTAAGTTAAAAGGATATTAATGTTTGGAACGGCTTTTATGGCATGTCAAGAGCTGCCTTAGCAGGAATATTCACTTTCCTACCAACTCCTGAAACTTTCAGGAAGAACAGGCTCCTAATAAACTCTATTGTTTGTTCACTTTAAAAACAAACAAACAAAAAACACCAATAAATGTTGCAGTCTTTAATCAAGTGAAATTCCTGATGACTTCAGTGGAGTTTTGCTTGATTAAGGACCATGGAGTATGGCCCAAAACTATGATTTACCTTGTATATTAGTGTGCTGGAGAATAGTCTATGGAGGTCAATCGGATTCCTTCTTTTATAAATGAGCTCTTCACTGGGTATCAAAAAAGAAGGAATTTGATTGGCTGTATACAGTTTGGACAGTCTTCTCTGGTATAGCCACATGGATCAAGAGTCCATAGCCTCTTGTTACAAAATGTATCAAAGAAACATCCTATAGAAATAAGAATACATTCTGGAAGTGTAATTACAACTGATAATACCTGCCCTTTTGATGATGATTTAATGCACTGGCCTTCAAATACTGTGCCCTTGAACGTTACATGTTTCTGCTATCACTTACCCATCTGCTGTAATTGGGATTTATGGCTCTATTAAAGGATATAGCAGGGGCCGGTTAGGTGAGGGGGTCGTGGCCCGGCCCCCACCTCCTATCTACCCCCCCCCAGACTCCTGCCCCATCCAACCCCCCTGTTCCCTGATGGCCCCTCTGGGTCCCCTGCCC